TCCTTCATCCTCGACGGCTTTCGTGCAGACGGAAGGCTTGGCTTGGGTACACCCGCCTTATTACACAGTACCCTACTCTCTTATAATAGTTGCAGGCAATAGAGAGAGAAAACTCACGCACACATACATACTCACACACACACACACACACACACACACATACATACATACATACATACATAGTAAGGGATCTTTTTTACTTTGGCTTTGTATTACTTTATTATTTTATTGGTTCACATTTACCCGCCCTGTCTATTTTTAAACCCCCTGCATTTCACTTTGTTACCCTTATTCGCTGAGAACGGTGCGCTGACTTATTAGTTTTCAAACTTACCTACCTCTACTATACCTAGTAGCATTCTAGTGCTCAGCAACCCTGCCCACCACCACCACCACCACCACCACCAACATTGTCGAGACATCCTCGTTTCTCGAAACTCTCAATCCTTCAATCTTGTTTCCCCCCCCCCCTCCCCCAAAAAAGAAAAAAGATACAATTTGGAAAGTTTGACATTTTTCCAACAATAACAATATATCCTGTTATAATCGGTCATTCGTAATTTGACCCGGTCATATATCAAAAAACCTGCCTATCCTATTATTCACTCAGGTACACACACAACTTCGAATAATAATAACTGCGGCGTCTCGCGTGCAATAACCAGGTAAGGCAAAGATTAGGTTACCCCTCGAGGCAATTATTACTTTGTTCTCAAACTCATCTCTTACGACCATTCGCTGTATGCATTCCAATCACTTTGCCTGAACCATTACTTCTTGCGCCATTCCATATTCCATCGCAAAATAAAAGATCAAGGCGCATTTGACGTTGGTTTTGGTTGTCAACCCTTTCCTTTTCCTGGAAGTTTGCCATTCAATTGGGAAACGATCTCAAGGGCTTCATAACTTCAAGTGAGTGAGTGAATTCCATTACCTTTTTTTTTGTTTAATTCTTTTAAGCTGGCTTCCTTTTCTTATTGTTGCCTTCATTGGTTCTAGTCTCGTTATTAAACAAACAACAAAAGAATCTCGTTTGTACTTATCATTGTGCTCTTTGACAAGCGATGATGGCTGGTCCAACAAGCATTGCAATTGCTAACAATGCAACTTTGAAAAGGTCTTTTACGGCGATCACACCTTCACCACCTTCGCCCGACTTGAGCGGACTATCTAAAACATATTGGGGTATACGATTAGTCCGGAGCGCACACGAATCATTGGCGCAGGCTCCAGTAGTCAAACGTCGCAATCTTTCTGAAAGACGGAAGATGCCATCAGCAGCTGGTCCCCGAATGTACGAGAATCATATACCTTCATTCATGTCAGTGTATGGTATGGATTCGAACATAATGGATGGTTCATCGTTAGACGGCACTCACACCAAACTATCGGCTAGTCCGTATGACAATCAACAATTACATCAAAACTCAGAAGTCAAGACCGATAGCAACTTGCTTCAGATACATTCCCATCAACATCGGGAAAGTACTTCAACACAAGCATCCGATTCGACCGACTCTTCACCCACCACGACAGTATCTACGGTAGATTCATCTTCACTATCAGATCCATCACCAAGTTCTTCGCCTGAATCGCCAATCACACTCGTCCCATTATCTTCATTCACTGGGTCTTCGTTTGGTCTAGATTCTTTTCAAAATTTAAAGATGGGCGAAGTAGATACAAGGCCGCCGCCAATAACGATTGAACGACCTATGACTTCACCTTCTCCAAGGAAGAAGAATCCCAAAAGTCTGGCTCTCAATCTTCGACCAAGCATTGATGAATTCACCTCGGAACCGGCTTCCCCTTCGTTTATTAAACCGCCACCACTGAAGGCTAGGAAAAAGCCAAGTATATTAAGTTTAAATACTGGAACCGCAAACCTAACTTTGGAACCGATGGGACAAGGAACATCGTCAATGTTGCAACGAAGAGGTCTGAAACATTCTGTCTCGTCGCCGCAAATGCTTTCAATGACAACACCAGGCTTTGGTCCTGGTGGTGGAATGACATTGGGTGACTCTTCTAGAGGATTTGGAGGTTCGAGATTAAAAGAATCTGGCGTCCCGAGAGATACATTCACCATTAATGAAGATGATGCACCCTCACCAACAGGAGTTCAGATGGCAACTCGAGCACCAGGGATGTCTATTGGCGGTGATTCATTCGACAGGCCACCTACCGGCGAGGATTGCAAGTCTCCATCATATCCTGACGGTCCAATCCTCATGCATGAGCCAACCATTCACCTCTACTCAGAGCCAAAAATGGAGGAGGCTGCAGAATTCGATGTTGTGATCAATGTCGCGAGGGAAGTGAAAAATCCATTCGAGGCAAAATTGGAAGAAATGGAGAAGGAGAAAGAGGAGAAGCAGAAAAGAGTTAGCTACATGACTGCCGCATCCAGGCACAACTCTGTGGATCCATATGCCGAGATACCCGGTACAGCTGGAACCATTTCCTCTTTCCAAACTGCTTACGAGACTCAACCGGCTGGTTCCGAATCGAGTTCTGCGGAGTCATCTCCATCTACTCCACGACCTAACACCTCGGAAATGAAGATTCCCGAGTACATCCATATTCCTTGGGACCATAACACAGATGTGCAAGATGAATTGTGGGATTTGTGCCAAACTATAGAATCAAGAGCTAAGGTGGGCAAAAGGGTTCTGGTGCATTGCCAGCAAGGAGCTAGCCGATCGGCAACCTTAATCATTGCATATGGAATGTACATCAACCAAGATTTATCGGCAAACGAAGCGTACAATTTGGCACAATCGAAGTCACGTTGGGTCAATCCTAACATGTCTCTTCTCTTCTCGTTGAATGACTTCAAAAAGGTTATCGAGAGAAAGAAGTTGGAGAAACAGGCAGCTCAAAATAAAGACACAGTCATCAGGAATAGAAGTATGACTCGACACAGGCAGTCGCTCTCTGCCAGTGATCTCGACACCGCATCTTCCCCGGGTCGTAACAGAGCAAACTCGTCTCATGTTTCGCCGCCTAGAGATCCGGTTGTCAGAGAGCCTTTGGTCACGAAGATCTCCTCAATCAAGGAGTCCGAGGCCAAAGAAGAGACGAATTCTGTTTGTAATTCGGCAATCGATAGTCTAGGCCGTTTTGACTTCGGATTTGGTGACCTTCCACGCATTGAACCTTTTACCAAATTCGAAGATAGTCCCAGGGTCGATCGATTACCATCACAAGAAGACAAATGGCAGCTTGATACGATGTCTCCTCGACCACAGGATGACGACGCGCAATCTGATATAATGTCGCCGCGTATAACTGAGATGACCCGTAATCCTCTCGAACATGCCTTCTCACGTGGTATTCCACAAGAATCTTCCTCCAGTGGAACACCCAGCCTCTTCTCTCCACGTGGATTCGATTTTCAGCGAACAACATTCTTCCCTCCAACGGTCGCAATTCATCCAAACCTCCCTCCCGCACATGATCCTAGGAGTCCACCTATAACAGGAGAAGCTACTATTACACGATCTATCGACGATTTTCTTTGAGCATTTGCAGAGCACATAGAATCCATCCTACTAAAGAATATCACCATAATGTCTTTGACCGATGTTTTATCTATACCAAATTTCGCAAGCATTATAAGTACACATTTAGTTGTATGCCAAATTTTGGATTATCATTCGGCGTTTCTTATTCTTCTTTTCATTTCTCATTTCTCAAATTTATAAGCAACACGCCGGTTTCTTTTTTTTTTTTTCATGATGGACGAAGATGGAAGGGCGTTTGCATAAGTTCGTGGCGTTGGATACGTAGGCAGGTCATCGTTACCGCCTCGCTGTAAGATTTTAATGAATTGTCCCTTTGTTCTCAAAGGAAGTGGGGGGATGGTATGGAAGAGGTGGAGTGGAGGAATAGGGTACTCACTTAGTTGAGACTTGGAACCATGAAGGAAATATGATGAGGCGAATAAATTAAGAAGGGGAAACCTTCCTTTTGTATCAATTGCCTGACGCTGTGGGGTGGATGGCTACGAATAAAATTATATACCCAAGAGAGATATTTACTGGCTATATATTCTTTACTTCTATCGTGTGATTATATCGTGTATTGTTTATTTTATTGGCAGTTCTTTTGTGTATAAACACTATCAGTCTGAGCTTGCACAATGTCCCCTCTGCCATGTGTATAAACGCAGAACGTAGCTGGGACTTTGATGTAAGTGAAGCTACTTTGTAAGATGGATGAGAGAGCCTAAAGGGTAAATGATTGCAGAATCTTGTGTAGAGAATAAGAGATTTTGAGTCAGAATGATGTGATGAGTATATGTATGTGTGTGTGATGGGAATGGAAATGGAAATGGCTACTTATGTTGAGTCTTTAGGATAGTGCGGCTTGGTATGGTATGAATCATTATCATATATATATTGAGATAAATATTGAGAAATATATTGATATTGATATATTTATTCATCGGAGGATTGGAGAAGAGAGAGGAGAGAACTGGTGTTCTTGATGGTTGGATTTTGGTTTTAGGATTTTATGTTGGCTTTTGGTTTTTGGCTTTTGGATGATAGATTGTGGGTTGCGGGGTTTGGGTGGTGGGGAGAGATGGTATGTAAGTGGTGAGGGAGATGAGGGAGAGGAGGGAGAGGAGGGAGAGGAGGGAGAGGAGGGAGAGGAGGGAGAGGAGGGAGAGGAGGGAGAGGAGGGAGAGGAGGGAGAGGAGGGAGAGGAGGGATGATAGAAACAAATAGTTCTGAAAGGGAGTGGTAGGCAAGGTAAGACAGAGGAAGAGAATGAACAAGAAGAGACATGAAAAGAGCAAATGAAAACGAATTGAAATTTTGAAAGTCATATTCCGCCCAAATGAGTCCGTACTAGGTAGGTAGTATCCCAAAACATGACACGACATGTGTCCCAAATCTATCCTAGGAGATTCGTTAAGTTGGTCGTCCCAGCATTCCATTCATCCCGGTCCATTCCATTACAATCCGTAATTCAACAGCATACTTAACCATTCTTTAAATACCAGGAATGACACTATACTGATCATTCGCATTCGAATCCGAATCTTCATGCTGAGGTTGAGGCTCCTCCACAGTCCTTCTCTCCTCTCCCTGGTGAGCTACAATGCCTTCTTCCCTCAATCGTTCAATCGCCTTCAAGAACTTGAAAACTTCTTTTGCGCAGGCTTCTTTAGCTTTATTCTTACCGTAGATGTTTGTGAGTTTTCCTACGGGGCCGTCAACCCGGGGATCGGATCCGAAATCTGCGTAGATTTCGTAAAATGAGGTGCCTTCTGACATGCGCGTAAGTTTGTAGGCCGGAGGGTTGAAACCAAGGGAGATGCAGAGGCCGGGGACGAGACTGGGATAGGGTGTTGGAGAGGTGCTTCTCTCGCGAGCATCTGGAATTGGAGTTGCAACTGGAGTCTTGGGAAATTTGACGGCGCCGGTAGAAGGCATGAGGTTCTGTGAGATAAGCCAATCGATGGCGAGTTTGGAGATGAATTTTTTGGCATCTTTTTTGTTGCTGAAGGATGTTAAGGTGGTGATGGGTTCGGTCTTTTGCTTGATGGTTACGGAACAGCCGAATCGCTGTTCAGAGACCTGGTGCTCTGTATACTCTGGCGGTGGAATGATGGCGTTGGCTTGGTGGTACTCTGGAATTTGTTAGTATCGATGTATGGATGAAGAGGTCTCGTGATTGTGATAGAGAACTTACCTAGTAGTTTTCCTACCCAGTTTGTGCTGCCCATTTCCTGCAATGCTTGTCCTTCAAGTAGGATACCACTGACATCTGGCACATTTCTAGGTCTGCTGTCGGCTGGTAAGCCAGTTCGAGATCTTGTGGGTTGTCCATTGAGATTATCTTGGTCAATCCTGAAAGCCTCGTTAATAAAATCTCATGATTAAAACCAAATAAGAGCACCAAAAGATTGCAGTGGTAATGTTATGAGACTTAACTGTATCCAATCCAGAACTTACTGAGCTTGCAATTCATCCTGCTCTTTTTCAAAATCACTCAGACTTTGAAATCGGGGTCCAGAGCCTGCCATTCCCACAACGCTTGCTTGAGTGCCCGCTAGATTATTCATACGAGCTTGGATATTGGGAAAGGAGCCGTATACGTTTGTGAAAGAACTGAGCATTGCAAAGGAGCTTTGTACCTATCTTAGAAACGAAAGTTGATGGTTTCTGGTGAGCTTCTTGGAGGAGTGGGTGAGGCTGGAGGTGGAAGGTTGGAGAAGGTCAATATTTGGGGTTCGATGCATCTACAAGGGTATGCGACTCCAGGCGGGGTTATGAGAAAGCCATATCCAATGATTTAGACTTGGTTGGATGGAATGTATATTGACTGGTTGTAGAATATGATCAGTGTAACATTATCATATTGTATCCAGCACCGCCCAAGGCTTTCATTGAAAGGATCCAAAGATGAGTATCGTCTGAAGATGTCAATGGGCAGATTGCCTACTTAGGTATTTACAACCCCTTTATCCCGAACTTAAGCCGAGATAACCATGGCCCATCTGAATCAGTACTACTAACAATCAATAAGACATGAGATCCTTCCAAACAACAACCTCACATCAACGATAATTCTTTTAATTGATATTTGCATCTTTCTGATTGAAGATGGATCTTCAAACTATCATGAGTTCCTTTACCGCCCAGGACAAAGATCAAGAAGTTAGACCCTCTTCAAGTGGAAGTTGGGCTTGTAAGGCGGTGGACGAATTCGATGCTTTGTGAATAAATCTTGGCCCTTATACTAAAAAGAAATATACTGACAGTTGATTAGATCAATAGAATATAAGCCCAAGCCAGCTGAAAAGTATCCAGGTTAGTTATCCATCCATTCACGGGCTTATCTAGAGCTTCCCCAGAGGAGGGGGGTGTGATCCTCACGGGACTGCCAAATATGATGATTGGTTCAACACGAACATCTCAACAATTCGAATCAATTCGAATCATGTCATTCTTATTATGAGTATGCCCAAGATCTTTACTGACAAATTATATTAGCAAAACTTCATGCACGGAATGTCAGAAAGCATCTTGATGTCGGTGAAGGTCTCATCTATCTTCCCGGTCTACCAAGTTTCAATTATGAAGATTCTGATATGCCACCTGCTTTCCGACAACGTCGTTACTTCTATTATATCACTGGAGTGAATCTCCCTGATTGTATCGTCACTTACAATATCCATCGCGATCAACTGTGGCTTTGGATTCCACCACCAAATTCCGGCTCATCCGTCATTTATAATGGAGCTCGTCCGACAATCAAAGAGATCATGGCCAAGTACGATTTTGACCATGTCGAAACATTAACTCATCTTGATTCATATCTCACTTGGTATGCACATACCGAACCTGGAAAAATCCATGTTCTACATGATTATCAAGCACCAAAAAACATCGAATTTCAGATTACTCGCAAAAATGGATGTCATTCTATTATCAGCGAATCTCCATTCGATAGCTCTAGGTTAGAGGAGGCTATGAATACAGCTAGAGCTATTAAGAGTCCTTATGAGCTTAGAATGATCCGAAAGGCAAGTGCAATCACAGCACAAGGACATATCAATGTTCTTCGTGGTCTTCGTCATTTGTCCAATGAGGTAGAAATTGAAGCCATTTTTACAGCAACTTGTATTGCCAAACAGGCGAAAACTCAAGCATATGGAGTGATTGCTGGCTCTGGAGAAAACGCAAGTACTCTTCACTACATGGCCAACAATGAACCTCTAAAAGACAGACAACTTCTGTGTTTTGATGCGGGATGTGAATGGGATTGCTACGCATCTGATGTGACTCGAACAGTTCCAATCTCTGGAGAGTATACCGAGGAAGCTCAAGCTATTTATGACATTGTAGCTAAGATGCAAGATGAGTGTATCGAGTTGCTGAAGCCAGGTGCTGATTATCGAGATATCCATATACATGCTCACAAAGTTGCGCTCAAAGGTCTCATGGATTTGGGACTTGTGGAAGGTGGCACATTTGATGAACTTTTCATGGCGGGTGTTTCGGTAGCATTTTTCCCTCATGGTGTAAGCACTTATTTACTCCATTCATAATATTCCAATCTGACTGATCATTTAGTTGGGTCATTACGTTGGTCTGGAGGTTCATGATGTCGGACCTGGCGGAAGTCGCATCACAAATCGTCTGTATGGTTTCAGCAAAAGACCCGCCGATTGGACTGATGCCTACTTCCAAATCCTTTCCAACACTGGAGTCACCTCAGATGGTGGATCTATCCTCAAAAAGGATATGGTTGTCACAGTCGAACCTGGAATGTAAGTTTATCCCATCTTGTTGGTATTTCCTTTCTAACGATGCATTTTCAAGCTACTTTTCCCGATACGCCCTTGAAGAAGTTTATCTCAAATCTCCCAAATATGCAAAATACATCAACAAAGATCTCCTACAGAAATACTACCCAATTGGAGGTGTACGTATCGAAGACGATCTTTTGATAACAGAAGATGGATATGAGAATTTGACTACCGCGCCAAAGGGTGAAGAAGCATTAAAAATCATCAATGAAGGAAAAGAACAGGAAGCGGAAGAGAGGCAAGCGAATAAGAAAGTTATGGAGTCTAGAAAGCAAAAGAAAACTTGGTTTTGGTAGATATTGAGTGGTTGAAGAATGGTAGAGGTGTAGAGGTGTACATAAGCGTTGCGTTCAATTTTTCTCCTTCATCTCGGGCTTCTGAAGGATGCTGGGGAATTTCTATTTCTTTCATTGAATATTATTGTATGGATGCTTAGCTTGGATACGACTCAATTCAACCTGTGGTCTATCGATCAAATACAACCTCTGCTTTGGAATATGCCCATGGATTATTGAATGTGTATATTTGTATCTTTTGTGTGGTTTTTACTTGTGCTTTGTTGGAAGTCATTTCTCTCATACAATGTCTGCAAAAGGGAAGATTATTGGCATTGTTAGTAAACATAAACTACATAACCATGAGTAGATGATAGTCTGAACCATAGCTCAACGTATATCATTCACTACTTGGCAACCGATCACGACTCGCTTGTTTGACTTGCAACAACTTGCAGCGAACCTACAAGACACCTGATCATTCAACCTATCACCCAGGAATCTGCTCATCATATATATAATCTACCCAGTTCTCTCAATCTATCCGATCCCCCCCTCCTTCTTTCAAATCGATCCCAATCACCAAAAACAAACTCACAGAATGCATAGAAAAAATACCAAATATCCAGAGAGTCCTCCTGCGCCCCCTCATCCATCTATCTATTCAATCCAAACCTCTTTGTTCAGAAATACACACTCTTCTTGTCCCCCTCCCTTCTCTCTCTCTCCTCTTGTCCCCCTCTCTTCTTTCTCTCTCTATTTCATTGTTCTCCACCCCACAAACTTTCTATATCTATATCCATATCCATCCCCCTTTGTTCCTTTGTCTAGATCAATAATCTTGCACAACGTCTTTGTTCTTATTTCCTATATCAATCTCGTTCCCTCCTCCTCCTATTATCTATTTCAATTTCCATTCCATTTCCATTCTCAAGTATCGAGTATCGAGTATTACCTAAAAATTGCGACCATCCACCATTTTCACATAAATCCAATCATCGTCTTATATACCATATAATACACCTCACCATCAGAAATCGAAACCCAAAACCCAAACCCCAAACCCCAAAATCAGATATAATCAACCAATTACAAAACAAAAGCAAATCCAAAAAGAAAATGTGCACCTACACCACCGTCCACTACGCCTGCTCGCACACCTCGCACGGCTATCCGCAACCGTGCTGGATCGCGCTCAAATCTGCTTCTCTCCCGCTTCCGCTTCCGCTTCCCCTTTCTTTTTCACTTCCGATTTCCTGTCTCAAGAGTATCCAGGCAGAGGAGATGCTACCGGAATGGTGTTCTGGGTGCAAGGCTAAGGCTGCGATGGCTGCGGAGAGAGTGAGGGTTTTGTGTGCGGCGAGGGAGTAGGTGGATCGGTAGAGATAGGTAGGTAGGTTGGTTGTTGTAGTTGAATCACTAGGTATGTGATGGAATGTGTAGGATAGGATATGATGGGCAAGGATGGTAAGTTAAGCTAAGGTAATAAATATAGCATTTTGATTTTTTAACCCCTGAACTTTCCAGCAATATGAATTAAGTTTTTTTAGTACCAATAAATTATTGTAAATCTGTGAAATTAAAAACATGAATCGAAGAGGTGTATACCTATACTCAATCAGGTATATATACCTAAAGCATCCCTCTTATCTTAATTTTAACTTCCCCTCATGTTCCTGCCAAAAGTTTCTACACAATCTGTGTCCCCAATGCTCAATCCACCATTCCCCAAAACTATCCTCAACTTTGACATCCACTTTCACAACTCTTTCTTCTCTCTTCAACCCACATATCACACACGCTTTCGGTGCCGTTAATCCTCCTTCTTGGGTCTTCACATGCATCAAATCTCCAATTTCTGGGATCGCCAAATGCTTCGATACATCTTTAAGACTTGTATTAGCTACAGCTACAGCCGATCGAAGTCTCCCTAATTGTTCTTTCCATACACGAACTGTCTCTTCCGCTTCACGATCTTCACGTGCGACCTCCGCTTTATCGACACCGGTCAATTTCATACCGCCTTTTCCACCAGCAGGCCCAATGCTCATACCTTGCGAGAGATGAGTATCACGTTTCCAGCGTAATTTGCGACCAGCGAGGATATGGGCTGCAACAGTGGCAATGAGGAGGTAGGCGCGGAGGAAGTTGATGGTAGAAGGATCGGATATGATGCGATTCTTGAGAGAGAATGGTTGGTTTGCTACGGCTTTGAAGAGAGATGATTGAGGAAGGTCGAAGAGCTGGGGGAAAAGCATCAAGAGAATCGAGGGAGGGGGAATGTTGGTAGGAGGTGGAAGATTGGGTTCCACTGGGGTGGGCTCGCTGACTTTATCGACGGCATTCCAGGCCCAAGCATCGGCTGCTATGCCAGATGTTGGATTTGAGCTAGGTATTGCCGGAGATTCGGCTGGAAGATCAGAAAAGTCACCCCAATCATCGTCTATGTCTTCAACGATAGATGGTATAGCAGGCGAATCAACATAGGGCGCTGCTTTTGGAGGTTTCTCGTCATATGATGGCCAGGCCGTCAAAGGAGAAGCTGATTTCGGTTTATCTTCGGTCTTCATTTTGGCGACTTGTTTGATTTGTTGGGTGGCAAGGCCCACCTTGGGAAACGGATTCCGCTGCTGAAAGGAGGGTGATTTGGGTGCTTGTGGGTATGGTAATGGGGTTTTGAGAGTTGGCGACGTGGTATTGAGGTTAGGGGGCTTTTTCAACGGTTGTTCCTGAATACTCATTGAGCCAAAAAAGTCATCGAGAGGTTCTGAAGGTGGAAGTGGTTGTGATGCAGGAGGAGTGACGCTCTCGAAATCCCCAAAATCATCTTCTTCACCCTCTTCCTCGTCGGCGTCAAAAAGAATTTCGCCACCTGACGAACCCTTAGATGGTGGCAATGTTGGTCGAGGATATGAATAGCTCATATGGTTGTTCGAGGTAGACGAAGTCTCTGGCATTTCATGAACATTATTGTTAAAAAGGTCAAGGGTTGATCTGCGCGCTATTCCCGGGTTTGGCGGAGCATTATCATTTTTGAATATGTTCCCCCCTTGATAATTGGATTTTGGTGCATTGATAGTTGGCTTCGGGGGAGTAGCCGTTATGCCAAAAGAACCCCATAGATCGTCTTGAGGAGTTCCACTTTGTGCTGGAGTCATTGGACTCGTGAAGCTATTCAGATCCCCCCAAATGTCATCATTTTGCTTTATAGTTTGCGCCGGAGCCTGGTTTGCATGCGCCTGGCCTGACCGGCTACTAGAGGTGGCATCATCAAAAAATGAAAAACTCTGGCTAGCTTTTGGTTGAGTATCTTGAGGTGATTTGTAAAATGTATCGAACTCGAGAAGATCGGAAGACATGGCTGTTGATGGGACAATTGATAGGACAATTGCTCGTAAATTGTGAGTTGCTATTGCTTCATCGGCTTCATGAGTATCAGTATCTTCAAGGATGTATGGTTTGGTATAGCTCGTCTTCTCAAAATTTGTATATCGATGATCGATAGATAATGATGTCGAGGTATAATTGATTGCGCAGTTCTTGTGACAGCTGATCCGGGCCAGAACAAGACAATGGAGACTTTATATCTCTTTATCCACACAAACTGCACATGGATGAAATGCAAGACTTATTACTTTACAGTCTATTCTTATGTGAGCTTCATCTCAAAGTATGTGGATACTTCGTCTCAGGAAAATGAATACCAATTGGAGACTGCAACGGTTGGAGTGCATGAGATGACGATGATTGGATGAAGAGTACGAAACATAATATGGAGGTACCTAATGTTGCTAGTACGGTGTTCCATTTAAATGCGATGGAAGGCTGACAACAAGGCTGATGGTAACGATTATATTTGATTGGTTGGTGTTGCTTCAAATTGACGCTAAACAAAACTTGGTTTAAAACCATGAAGTAAAGCTCAGCCTTGTTCCCCCCACTCCACTCCAGTGATTTAAATAGTCCGAGAGATAGGAGTGTCGTCATGTCATAAACCTCCCTTTTTCGGACATTACATCTGCTCGTGATAATGAGGTCTTTGGAAGATTCTAGGTAAGAATTTTTAGAAAATTCAAAAGCTTCTTCCTCTCTCTGCTCGTTATTGTTCTAATAGAAGAGTGAGAAAAGAAAGAGATGGCAGGTGACGATAAAGTCCGCATCTAACTTGACCGAACTCAAGAAATCCGTGAGGATCGATGGAGAAAACAATCCTTGTAACGGAGGTTTGAGATCTGTCTGTTGGAAGGCAAGTTCTAAGTTTCATCTTGGTGTACTCTTGAGTAACATTTCTACAGACATTTTTATTGTTTCAAAACACAGAGATCACGGGTTGGGCACGAGGACTTGAGGATTCACGAAGTGCTTATACCTCTTTAAGAGAACACTTCTTGAGATTTATCGAACATCCAAATGATCTAGGATCCTCATTAGATCCTTTGGATGATGATAAACACGTGAGTTCTTTTAATTTGGGTTTTATGTATTTTGAGTATTTTGTTCAAATATACTGAGAGACTTTAAGTCACCATGGAATACCCTTCGGAAAGATGAAGAAATTCGTGCCGAAATATTTCAGGATATCGAGAGATGCATGCCAGAAGAACCATACTTCCGTCGCGCCGACATTCAAAGATTCATGCTGGATGTGTTATTCATCTTTTGCAAAATCAACCAAGATGTAGGTTATCGTCAGGGCATGCATGAGATACTGGCTCCAATTCTATGGGTAGTGGAGCAAGATTCTATTGACCCTGGAGACATCAATAGTGACACGAGTGGATCAGGAACAGATTCGTCAGATTCGTCAGATTTGATCATGAAGCAGTGTTTAAATCGTAAATTCATCGAGCATGATGCCTTCACTCTCTTGTCTTTAGTTATGAGATCAGCAAAGTCATTTTATGAATTAGGTGATCCCGGTCAAAAAACACCTCAAATTGTTGGCGGAACACCTCAAAATGGAGCATCTCCTATTGTTGAAAGGAGTAAGCGAATTCATGAAGTATACCTGGCTCGTATAGATCCGCGACTTTCCAAACATCTTACAGATATTGAGATACTACCACAAATATTCTTGATGTAAGGACAAAAATTCTTAACTTTGGCTACTTTCCATCTATTAACGGATTATACAGACGTTGGATTAGGTTGCTTTTCGGGCGCGAATTTCCTTTCGTTGATCTACTATCAGTATGGGATACGCTTTTCGCTGAGGATCCAGAACTAGATCTTGTGGATCTTATATGTGTAGCAATGTTACTTCGAATCCATTGGCAACGTATGCAATTCACCTTCCACAGTCTGGTTTGACGACTAACTTATAAATTAGTGATGGAATCGAACTACTCGCTGGCCCTAATGCTTCTACTGAAATACGAGTGTCCTCCAAATCCTCAAACTTTCGTCGATGATGCAATCTTCTTACGTGATAATTTCAATGCTAGTGGGGGATCCCAGATTATTCACAAATATAGTGGGAAGTTCCCGCATCGAGATAAATCGTCGCCACCACCTGATGCTCCTATTGAAGAAAGTCTCAGCCCTAGACAGCTACTCATGCGGAACAGATCTTCATTGACTAGCCCTGCTCGGTTCTTGCAACAACAAGGAGGTGTTGAAGCGTTAATTCAAGGTGCTGCAAAAGGTGTTTACAATAGAGGAGAGCGTCTTGGCATCAATCAAGCTGTACGCGATGCAATGGAAGAAGTGAAGAAGAATATGCAAGGACTACAAACTCCAAGAAGTAGCAATTCTCCTAGGAGAACTAGTGCTGCTTCACGGTGGTCTCTTGACGATGGGCGTGTGATGCCTGCCTCGACAGCTATCATGGCAACAATGAACGAAAGAAACAGGCAATTGGCTGTCATGCTAGATCACGCAATGAAAGATCTGAGATCTGTTTCTGTGTCAAAAGAAAGTAACCGGGAGAAGTGCATCGAGGCAATGGACATGGCTATTGCGAAAGTTGATTTCGTGAAAGTTTACTTGGAGGACTCTACTATGCCACTTCCAATTCTTTCACCAATTATCGATGGTAGGAATGAGCCTGCTACACCAGAAGCAGATATACCGAAAGCTTTATTACCACCAATCTCAGATCATGGACAGAAAACTTCACCAGAGACTCCCATCATGACTTCCGACCCAGGCAATGCTCTGACAAAAGAGACAAATAACCTAGACGAGCCATCCATATCAACGACTGACATTAGTCAAACTCCAAGGGAAGCAATTGATCTCTCCTCAAGCGAGCCGTCTACAATTATCGAACCCGACATAGAAAGACATTCTATGAGATCTGCAACAACTGATCGACCCAGAGCACCAATTCCCACTAGATCTTCGATTGCTCAGTCATCGTTCTCCTGGATGCTAGAACCAGATCAAGCATCTAGCCCCACGATAAAATCTTCACCTCCCAAGAGTTCTTCTCCATTTTTAAGAACCGGAAAGAGACCTACATCCGGTGCTGGTCGAGAAAAGGCAGCGTTTCTTTTTGGGGATGATGATGGCGACTTCCAGCTCCCAATACCAAAATCTCCAATGCCAAACGCTGAAGAAGCCTTCAAGCTAGGAACCTTGAAACGAATAAAAGAGAAACAAACCGATGAAGATACGATTGAATAGTATGACAATATTATCTCTTTTGTCTGTCCAACAACACACTTCATTATTGGATTCATCAGTAAACGCGAATCCATTAATACACGAATCACGACGCGACATCGACTTGATCACTTGTTACAAGCCCTCTATTAAATATGATAGAAAAAGGACGAATGGGGCGATCTCCTAACATCAGCTGGGAGCCTGACATTTTTCGAACGTCGGATAGCAGAACACTACTGCAAGCTGGCAATGCAGGTATACGCGAATGTAGGAAGCCTCTAATTCGTCTAGGTATTTTGAGTAACACTAGTTGAACCTGGCTACTCGTCAAATTTCGTAATTGACCCCGATAATCCCTCAAAATTGGATCTGTAAAGCCTAAGACTAATGAGTGTCATCGTCGGAATATGGGTCAGCGTTGACAATATGGGAATGGTCATAGGAGGCAGACAATATCAAATTATTTCATATTGTGAACGAAATTAAGAAGTATATGACTATCAAGTTTCTCAACCTGTTCACTTATACTGTCTTTGATATTGGTTTTGCCATAAAGAGAGAGGAGTCAAGAACAGGTGACTATAAAAGTCCTTTCTTCATCCGTGATTCTTCTCCTATGGGGTTTTCCTTTAGTTCTCCTTTCATGTAAACGGAAGTATATAAAGCATCTGACACTTTTAGGAGCTTGAGCTCAATCTCTTGACATTTTGCCTTGGTTCGATCCCCTGAAAATCCTTGAGGGATGATCTGCTATTGATTATTTTGAGGCACAACAAGTAGATACACCATATCCCAATGATATCCAAAGAATACTGTCAGCCTTCCTGTCATTGTTATTTATATACAAGAAAATTGGTGAAATGGTGAAATGTGTACTTGATGCAGATAAATAGTAAACCAAGGACGTGGTATTGACGATCTACCTACCGAGCTACCCTCCTACCTTAGTACCTACCTAAGCTGCCCCACCCTTTCTAAAACCACAGTCGGTGTGTCTCAATCAAACTTTGAACCCCGCCCTTCCAATAATTAGCGTCAAAATCATTCCCAGTAAAAAAAAGCAAAAGCACTTTCCAGGTTCACCAGCCATTCCCTCTCTCCTCTCCCCTCCACAAACAAAAAGATTCATCGATTTCTTTCAAAGAGAATTATCAATCACACTTTCTCCTCCCCTTTCCTCTTTTCCCTCTCCCTCCTCTTCGTCCCTTCCCACTCCTCAACTCAACTCTCAACCCTTTAGTCACCCCCCCCCCCCCACTATCTATCTAAATCCATCTTCTTTTCCCCTCTTCGAGGTCACTCGGACAACCCTTCATCCTCCTTTATCTTCGCGATAACACACCTCGAACTCTTCACACACAACTCCCTCCCACAACCAGTCTCTTTCTTGATATCTACAATCAAGGTATGCTTCTATATTTATTCTCCTTCTTTTGCTCAAGTCGCAATGTTTAGCTTTACATTGCATTCCACTGGCGCATTTACTATCGCATGCGGATAGTGAGATATGTCATAGTCTGCGGATTATCAGCTCTTTAATTTACAATCACATCTCTCAAGTACTAACCTTCCATCAATCAGATCTATCTAACGTTACCTCACTCAACTTTCCATCTCCCAGAAGCTGAATCTCAAACAAATACAAAATGTCTTCTCAAGATAATCGCGACAATGCTCCTAATGGTGATGAGCTCAACGATTCCATGGATCGCTTACAGGTCAATGATGAGACTCGTCTTGGCCCCGATGGCGAACCACTCCCAAAGACCGATGAAGAATATGCAGAATCTCAACTCACCTTGAGAGCTATTGTTTCTTCAAAGGAAGCTGGTGTCATTATCGGCAAAGGTGGCAAGAATGTAGCCGACCTTCGTGATGAGACTGGTGTGAAAGCCGGTGTCAGCAAGGTCGTTCAAGGTGTTCATGATCGTGTCTTAACCATCTCAGGTGGATGCGATTCTATTTCCAGAGCTTACTCTATTGTTGCGAAAGCTTTGTTGGAGGGCGCACCACAAATGGGAATGGGTGGAGTTGTTTCTAACAACGGTACTCACCGTAAGTTACAGTCTATGTCATCATATAAACACTTGGTCTAATTCTACTATCTAGCAATTAAGTTGTTGATCTCTCACAATCAAATGGGTACGATCATCGGCCGACAAGGACTCAAAATCAAGCACATCCAGGACGTTTCTGGTGTTCGCATGGTCGCACAAAAAGAAATGCTCCCACAATCCACCGAACGTATCGTGGAGGTCCAGGGTAACCCTGAAGGCATTCAAAAGGCCATCTGGGAAATCTGCAAGTGCTTGGTCGATGACTGGGCTAGAGGAACTGGTACTGTTTTATATAACCCCATGGTTCGCACTCAAACCGGTAATTCAGGTGGTATGGGCCAAGGTAATGTTGGAGGAACTGGTCGTGAGTATGGTAGCTCACGTGTCATGCGCACTGGAAATGGTGCCGACTTCAGTGAGAGTGCTCCACGATCATACAACCGCCGTTCTGAATCGGATGCCGCTCAACGTGGACCCCCTACTCACGATGAGAACGGAGAGGAACTCCAAACACAAAACATCAGCATTCCAGCTGACATGGTTGGATGTATCATTGGTCGGGCTGGTTCCAAGATCAGTGATATTAGAAAGACCTCTGGAGCTCGTATCTCCATCGCTAAGGTAAGCTTTCTTAATCCTGAGAGAGTTCAAAGCTCCACCACAAAGATATCTGTACTGACATATGCATTAGTCTCCTCACGATGAGACTGGAGAGCGCATGTTCACCATTATGGGTACTGCTAAGGCTAACGACTCAGCTCTCTATCTTCTCTATGAGAACCTCGAGGCCGAGAAGCAACGCCGCAGTCAAGGCAATGCTCAAGAATAAATTACTAGCTCTATTTGAGCACATCGAATTTCTTTTTCAGGCAGGCAAGCTTTGTCTCAGGTCTATCCAGATTTGACTTGCCGCAAGGCTGATATTGATGCGATGATTCTACCTTGGGATTCGTCAGTAATTTTTCCTTGGACCGATATTCCTTTCCCCAACAAAAGCAGTTCCTTTACAATTTTCATTTCCACTTCTTGCGGCACGGAATTTTACGAAATTATGCTCATTTGCATGGTGCACACTCGAGTTGCCCTTCTGCAAATGTCATTCCCCTATTGATACAAATGATTCGCCTCAACATTCGACAACCAGAGATACCGACCTCCTATCTCGACTCTCAGCTTTCCGAAGTCCCCAATCGAACGAACGAGAATCGACCTAATTTCGTCATTCATGCCGGCTACGACCTGATAATTCTCTTAAGTTACGAATCATGATATGCACATTACCCGTTAAATCATATGCACTCGACACAAGTTTCCCAATCGTCTTCCACATCGCTCCTTCGAACACCAATACGTCCGCAACACAAATAGCCTTACGTCTTCTCGACCTTTGGTCTCATACTACGAAATAGGCCCATCGACACATCCAGGCATGTTCTGAGAATGTAGTAGATAGACTAATGAGTAGCTTGAGAACAATACGAGTATTCCGAACAATGAATTTATTTAAAATACATGTAATAGATGCAACATCGTCGAAGTGAATTCAGTTAAATGATCAAATGCAAATCATCGTGTGCTCTGTATTTTCTATGATTTACGACCAGAATCTGTACTAGTATATTCCAATGTTTGCTCTGGGGTATCTTTCCCATTCTATCCCATTCACCGTATACTCTGATATTACCGCTTCCAATCAACCCCCTTTTTCTCCGTAAAATATCATCCTCTGCCACCATTATAATCTGCACCTCCAGCCTTCCTACACAACTTGACGATCTCCGCCTCATCCACATCCTCCATACTTCTCGCATCTATCGACACACTATGGTGATTCAAGACAGCCTTGACAGCACCACTCTCAATGCTAACTCTCGCTTTCCTCATAACTTTTGTTTGTTCCCCAATCCACGTAATAAAAGCGAATTTCACCCTGGAAGATTCGCTATCATTGGCATATTCAACCCGTAAATACGCATATTGGGCTTGGGTAGGATCCAATTTCTCACGTAGTTCAGAGATCCCGCCCTCTCCAGTTGCAGTGAGGGTCAGAGCATCCCCTATGGCTTTGGCATAGGATATCAAGAGCCAATTCGTGGGGGATTTGTCGGAGCGGACATCGTCATAGGCGGCGAGGATTTCGGGGGACTTTGCATTAGACATCTTGAGTTGAATTGGGCTTGGGTTTGAGGGAAAAGGAGGCTCTGAGAGGATAATTGTGCGGGGTGGATTGGTGGGAGAATCGAAGGGTTCGTGAGGTGAAGTAGAATAGTGGGGTTTCCGTGAGTATATGATTGTCAATTTACACTTCTGGATATAGTGGAAATATGACGTTTCGAGAGTTTTAGTTCTTGAAGATTGGGTGTCTTGTTTGTCAAGTTTCAACACTTACTCTCGTACCATAGAAAGAAGAGAAATGCAAATGTAAAGCAAAATAACGGAAAACCACCAGAGAGAAAATATGAATGGAAGAGACCCACGGAACAACAAAATGCCAGCTAATCCGTAGGGACCCTTTCATAACTTACCTACCAACCTACCTAGAACAATTGCGGATTGCAACTATTCCATGTTTGAATGTGAGGAGATCTGACCGCCTTTTTTTAGTCCCGTAATGCAGATAGGTAAGCATAAAAAGGGCTTGGTGTGGCTTGTGTATAGTAGGTAGATCTAGATGTGAGATGTGGCTTGTTGCTACTACCTCGGACCTTCCTAGGGAAAATAGTTGAGGACATTTGGCAATTGGAAATATACACATCTTTATTGATTTATCCGTTGCACGTTTTCTACTTTGCTTTCTTTTACACTCCTTTCTTTTCTTTTCTCTTCGCTTCGTAACTCTTCTTGATACCCCTTTGCCTTGACTATTCCTCAGGGTCCTATCCCTTACTTTCATTTCATTTTGCAACTGCCCTCTGATTTTCCTGTAGCATTTGGAATAACGAATTGCCAAAAGATGGCGAGAACAAAACAAGCGGAACCTTTGCGTCGCAATCCATCTTCCGAGTACACGAGTAAAGCAGATGCGACCGGGGCGAGAAGCTTAAGTGCTAAGAAATCGAATAAGGAACTGAATGGGAATGCGCCGATCCAGAATGGTGCACTTAAAAGTGATGCGCTGTTGAAAAGGAAGACACAAAAGGAAGCTGGCGCATTGCAATTGATATTTGCAGTTGCTGGAATTTATGGCAGCTTGTGAGTGACAGCACCAGCGATGATTGTCAATAGTCTCAATTGGAGAAAACAAGAGTGCTAATTGTATAAATGTGTAGTCTTACTTGGGCACTCCTTCAAGAACGACTCACTACTACTGCATACGGATCAGAAAAAGCACCTGAAAAGTTCAAATTCCCAGTCTTTCTCAACACGGTACAATCACTTTTCGCTGCCACAGTAGGCTACATTTACCTACGATTCGATACTCCCGCCAATAGCAAAACGCTACCCATCTTCCCAAGTCAACGGATTATCTTTCCCCTTCTCGTTGTGGCCATTACCTCCTCACTCGCCTCCCCCTTTGGCTATGCATCTCTCGATCACATCGATTATATCACTTTCATTCTTGCCAAATCATGCAAATTACTACCAGTCATGTTTCTTCACATAACTCTCTTTGGAAAACGCTACCCAATTTCTAAATATGTCGTCGTCTTAGCCGTAACTTGTGGTGTCGGTATCTTTACTCTCCATGCAGGTGCTAAATCTCATGGAAAACCTAGCAAAGCGGCACTTAATCCAGATCGCAATACTGCATGGGGACTTTTGCTCCTAGGAGTAAATCTTCTATTCGATGGTCTCACAAACACAACACAAGATTGGATCTTCACAAGCTTCCAACCTTATAAAGGTCCACAAATGATGTGTGCAAATAATATCATAAGCACTTTACTCACAACATCATATTTGTTATTGTCACCATATCTTGTTCATACGGGATTGGGAGAGTATCTCGGTATGGATCTTGCAAGTGGAGCAGGAGAATTGGCTGGAGCGTTGGCTTTTATGCAGAGACATCCAAGCGTTTGGAGAGATGTACTTGGATTTGCAGCTTGTGGTGCCGTGGGACAAGTTTTTATCTGTATGTTTTCCCTTTTATTCTCTCCGTTTCATCAAGAGCCACTTTATCTTGAAATCAAACTAACATTCAAAACAGTTTACACACTCTCAACGTTCTCATCTCTTCTTCTAGTAACCATAACTGTTACTCGCAAGATGCTTACCATGATCTTATCAGTAGTTTGGTTTGGTCATACACTAGGCAGTAAGCAGTGGATGGGTGTAGGATTAGTATTTGGTGGAATTGGAGCTGAAGGCGTCATTGCGAGAAGAGAAAAGGCTGCTAAGGAGAAGAAGAAGTTGGCTGAGTCGTCAAAGAAGGAATTGTAGATACGAAGACGAGTGTATGATATTGGAGTTGTCGGATGATTTCAGAATATAAAATCAACTATCAAAGATTGATGGGAGGCGTTTGGGTTATAGTACCATGATTATTGGTATTGGTAAGAAACGGGAATTTAGAAATAGATAACTAAAGAAGGTTTTCACATTACCAACATTTGGCTTACTATGGATACCAACATATAACAAACAGCGAACAACCAAAATCTCCTTTAAACCACCAGTCAAAATGTCACGATTACCCAGTGCTGATGTGCTGTGCCGTAAAGTGTGGGTATAGACTTCACTTTAAATATTGACCAGACTTCCAAAGCTCTCGTTATGACTTGTTCTTCTGAATTCGAATTATCTATATCGAGATTTTATACTAGCATACAAGGAAGTCAGAGATATAAGGACGACGGTCGATGAGAATTTGAAAATGCAGGATGAGGTGGAATATCATCTCGTGATTGTTGGAGCGGGTATGGCCTTCCCTTCACCTCAAACATTTACAAAATTTCAACCCTATTTCGTCATCTTGTTAATCTTTTGAATTCATGCACCTTACCTTCTCTTCTCCAAGGCGTTTGGCTATTAATTAACTGGTATATCGCACCCTAATTAGGTCCATCCGGCATTGTTTTAGCTCGCTTCTACCTCTCCATTTATCCTACTCATCGTCTCGCTCTCCTTGAACAAGAAGATGTTATTGGAGGGGTCTGGAGTTCCGGTATCTTCTCTCTTTTCTTGATTCCCCCTTGAACCACCCTGCTCTCACACCATTTTACTATCAGTAACCCCTAATCTGCATTCACAGCACGTCAATACCCAGGATTTCGATCCGAATCCGGTCTTCGCATGACGGGTTTCTCGGATATCCCTATTGTTCTTCCTCCAAATGCAAAAACGTATCACGATACGTTTGAGGCGAAATATGTGACCAAGTATCTAGAGGAATATGTAGATGTACATGTTTATAATGAGAAGAGTTTGAGGGATCGAGTGATCTTTAGATTCAAAGTAGGAGGTATTGAGAAGATTGATGGGATTTGGTCTGTTTGGAGTGACGTCCACGAGAATGGAAATGGGAATGAGCACAAGAGAATGATCAAGACCAAAAACCTAGCTATAGCCACTGGTCAGAATTCTCTTCCTTACATCCCGACATTCCCTAATCAAATGGACTTTCAATCCCCCATCGTCCACCAAAAACACTTTGGAGAAATATCCACATCAGCCCTCGCACCAGATTCCCCCTACACGGCAGTAACCATTCTTGGGGGAGGTAAATCTGCGGCAGATATGGTATACGAATGTGTTAAAGCCGGCAAAAAAGTATCCTGGCTCATCCGCCAATCGGGAGAAGGACCCGCTATATTCGCCGGCGCCAAGGGACGAGGCCAGTATCGCAACGGTGCGGAAATGTCTGCCACGCGAGCCTTTTCCGCATTGAGTCCCTCGTGTTTCGCGGAGCAGACTTGGCTGTCGAAATTCATTCATCGCTCGTCGATTTTCAATTCCATCGTGTCGAGGATATGGAGAGGTGCGAATGAAGAAGCTGCGAAGCTTGCGGATTTCGAGAGAGAAGATGCACTACCCGGGTTCGAGGGCTTGAAATTTAAAAGTGAAATTTTTTGGTGTAATGGCCCCCTTGGACTTATCCACCATGATGATTTCTGGAATACGGTGGCAAGGAATGTGAGGGTTTATCGGGGGATATTGCAAAGCTGGATTATCATGCAATTGTGCTAGAAAATGGTACGGTGATTCATACAGATATGTTGTTATGTGGCTCGGGATGGAAGCGAGGATATCCCTTTTTGACTCCTGCACAAACTCGCGAATTTGGATTACCCCATCCAGTAATCGATGATTCGGAAGAAGAATCTCGCATCTGGGATTCTCTGACCGAGCACGCGACGCGGGAAATCCTCACATCGTTCCCGAAACTTCGGAATCCGCCAGGCCCAACACACACCCAGACCAACATGAAACGAACCGTGCAGTTCCAACCACTCCCACGCGTCTCTATAATCTCCTCGCTCCTCTCAACGATCTAGAAAATCCCTCTCTCGTCTTCCTCTCCCACATCCACCTCTCCAACGCCTTTCGACTCGCCGAAGCCCAAGCCATCTGGACCACCGCCTATTTCTCCTCTCATCTCTCTCTTCCTCGCTTGCAAGAAGCGAGACGCGAAATCGCATACCAGAATACCTTTTCGAAACTGAGATATCCGGCGCATGGTGGACGGGGGAATTATTTTCATCTGGATCTGGTGGCGTATACGGATATGTTGACGAGGGAGGTGGGGTTGGGGAGTCATAGGAAGAAAGGGTGGTGGACGGATTCGGTGGGGCCGTGTGTGGCGGGGGATTATGGGGGGATGAGGGGGGAGTATTTGAAGAGGTTTGGTGGAGGTGGAGAGGGTGGTTGATAGGTGTAGAGCGTAACTTTCCTGGTTGAGGATTTGTGGGTGTGTGAGTTATATTTTGGTTCTAGAGGAGATATCCTCGATTTTGCCTAGTTCTTCGTTTGTCTTATATTGAGATTAATCTCTCATCCATAATACAATAAATGTTCTCAATATTCAATTTTCTTTATTAGTCTATCAGAACAAGTTATTACAAGGCTTTCTCCATTCTCATATCTGATCCCAATCCAAATCCCAACCCCTAGACCCTTCTCATCTCTTCTCGCACATCTTCCCAACTACCACGCCCTCTCAAACTCCAACCTAAAACACCGAAAAATAAAAACGACTTCATATCCATACATACCATACATACCTAGAGTCTCGATACAAACCCAACAAAAATACCATATCCGAAATGAAATTCATCGCATACCCACCTATCTTATCTAATACTCCTTTCTATCTTGACTTCTAAGTCCGCTAAGCGAATATATTGGTTCCGCGCTAGTGGATGGATATGAATTAAATTTCGTACCAGGATGGAGAAGAAATTGAAAAGATAGGAATTACGGAGAAAAGGGAAATGTAGAAGTGAAAACATGGTAGGATGTGAGTTTCGAAAATGGATGTAAATATAGTTACAAGAAATGTCTCGCAATAAATAAGAAAAAGTATACTCTACTCAGCACACAAAGTTTCTTAAGGAAAGGAGAAACTCAACCCTTACATAGGTATTGAAGCAAGATCAAGGGGAAGTTCTCACTCTTGCTATTCGAATTCTGCTTAATATTCTAGAACAACTAGATTGGTTGGATTTGAAAACATAACGGGTTGATGTGTGGTAAATTGATAGAACTATTGTTACATTTTGTGAGTATCTACTCGTCTACTTATTTAGTACTTAGTACTTGAGACTTGAGATGCAAATAGGAATAGAAATAGAAGTTTAGATTGAAATTCAAGCGAGATGAGATATTCTTGATTCGCGAATTTCGAATAAGTAGTGTTCTCGATTTTCCGAGCTGCAGTTCAAGTTTGAGATTTTGATAAAAAGTAAGTAGGCAGGCGATCTTATTAGTTCATAGATCTATTTCGATATTTGAGATGAATTTTCGGTGATTAGAAAAGATTGAGTTCAGATGAACGAAATGTTCTGGAGTTTCTAATCGTTGATTAGAGTTTGGATGAAGCTTGGGTGGACTATTGAATAGTCTGGTGGAAACTGGGGGAGCTGAGAAGTTGGAACGCTACGATAGAAGAAACATAGATAATCCATGTACTACAAATAGAAGCGGGAAAATCAGAATTTATCATTCAAGTATCTGAATTTGCAAACCGAGCAGAGAAATGAAGAGAGAAGATAGAGGACACTATGTCAATTCTCTACTTTCTCTTTCTCAGGAATGAGGATTTATACTATATCAAAAGATAAAATAACATAGTTTCCTATCCAATACTCCGAGATCCGATAGGATATACTTTGATTTTGTAACGAAAGTAGTTGTGCAGAAGGTCTGCGAAATTTGTATGTATGCAATGACATAGAATAAAAGCATGTCAGCTGTAGTGTGGACTAAACGTAGGTGTTAGTTGTTTATTCCTGACCAAAAGTCTTAACTGTTTTCATGTGTTATATAGCCATGCTTATACTTGTATATACTTTAATATTATTACACGATCTCACCACGCAATCACTACGATTTGATGGATAATTTTATTGTGAAGATGACTTCTCTCTTACATCGTACCCAAACTTTCTGTCGAAACCTCAGCATGATAATTTCCTCGCAGGCTCTAAAATATCGATAGAACTATGCAAGTTTGAAAGCCTTCCATTCCCATCCAAGCATTTTCCCAAGATCCTCCAGATTCTTCTCTCGCCATTCTTCTTCTTCCCATTCCAATTGCACCTCAAATTCACGTACATCAATACGCTCAAAAGTGTTCGAATCTGAGGTTTCGTCCAGCAGCATCATGTAAACAATTCTCCCAGGGTTTTCACGTCTAGAATAACTTTCTATTCCCGAAGCATATACCCATGCCTTAAAGACATACTCCTCATTATCCGTAATGTTCATCCCACGATCTCTTGCCAACCTCGAAAGCCAATACATTACCGCCTCATCTGTTACATATGGACCACACACTTCCCGGCCCCACTCGGGATTTGAGCGGATAGGAATTGGAAGATGCGTGAGCGGTCCAAAAACATGAACATAGCGCACGTTTTCCATCAGCATAATCGTTTGCGCAAGATCAGCGACATCCGCTTCGTGAGACCACGGGATTATGGTGCCGTTCTCGAGCTCGAGGCTAAGTTTTTGGTCATGCAATATATCTGTATCTTTCCCCATGTACCCTTGACCTAGAATTTCTCCTTTTCATTCGATCGAATGAACCGACGGCGAGGCATATGTCCAATCGCACCATGTCCAGCTTGGTAAGGACCGTCTCCTTGATGGCAAGATTATCGTGGTGAAATCCTCAAGAGCACGAGTATCCAAAGCAAAGCCCCATGTAATAGCCACTATTAGCGTAGCAGTAGTGTCAACAGGGAGTAATTTGTTACTGGACTCGAAAATTGGCACTCCATATATGTGTCCATGAAAAATTGAGCACTCAGACTTAAACATACCCAATATACCCAGAAAGGCAGGCAGAACGTCGGAGTCTGTCGAGAGTTGTCTCACGGCATACTCGCTTACCATTCTGCTGAAATGTGATATTTCCCTGTCGGTGTGATGATTTGGCCGTGGACGAAATATCATTGGGATGCGAAGTCGCTTATGGATATCTCTTTCCATTGTGAGGTCATAGTCGATACTTTCCATCCGACCACCTCCTTTGCCGCACCGAATACCTCCTGCATCGCATTGAAAATAGCACTGAGTCTCAGTGAACACGAGCCTCCGTCTTGATAATAAAGCCTCTTGAAAGGTCCATCCGCGCGTATTCCACACGGAATTTTTGATCTCATGCTTAATGTTACTGACCCACTGCGCCAGGTGAACGGAATTCATTTGCAGAAATTTTTGCACGGGTATTCTAGGCTTGGTGACGCCAGGGAGGCCTTCACTTGGGCATTTGGCAGTAGTAGCGATTATTGTAAGATTAGATTGTGAATAGATCTTATCCATGTTCTTGATGAGAAGGGATTTAATATCGGAAGAATCATCTTGAGGAACACAGTATCGATCAATCCACAAGTACCTGTAGCCCAAGGCTATGACAACCTTGATGACATCCGTCATAAGATTTGGAAGAGTAGAGGGCAATTTTCCAAAGCGATCTGGCCCTTCTGATACTTCAGATCCCCAGACGTAGCTCAGTGTGATGTATTCCATGCAGGTGGTACCTGGCACTAGGATATTCCTCCCATCTTTACAGTCGATTAACGTGAAGCCTCGAAGTGAAATGCCATCTTTTGGTAGGCAATTAAAGTTAGAATCGGCATGATTGTCATTGCACAGCCGAATCCATTCGCGGACGGGAGACAAATCGGTTTGTAATGATAGATTACGCATGGCTACTCCATCTTTATAAGCGTTTGCGTTAGAAAAGCCGAAGATTGTATTAGTACGATCGCTCGTAGGGTCATTGGCATATTCACTAGCTACGAGGTAAAAGATAATTGTATTGTCGTAGACGGGCTCAAACGTATTGCCTTTGGCGTACTCGAAGCCAAACAACCATCCTGCAGTTGACCTTGCAAGGGAAAAAGTTTCTCCATTTTCGTCTTCCTTCCCTTCAGCCCAGATGGATTGGAAAAAATTGCAGAGCTTGCAAAGAGGCTCAAGTTCGTCGATTCTGGAAGTGTAAATAAGTTCAGACACGCCTCTCGTTCTTCCGATTATTCTTCTGAACACTTCTTTCTCCAGAAAGAACCAACCCACGATTTGATTGCACTTCTCACAAAGACTGATATTCTTAGCTTTCTTTCCGGCCGCCAAAACAGCTTCATGGATTTCCTCTTCGCTCATATCGCTCTCTTCGCAGTCATCCAAAGGTACGTACGAGCTAATTGTACAATTCATCGTGAGGGAAGTAGTATTTTGGGATGTATGGTGCTTAGACTTAGAAAATGTAATACATGAGCACCGCCTGGATCAAAAAACCTAGTACAGGTGCAACAAACTTCGCAAAACCCAAAGAGTTCAAACCACCTACTGATCGATCTTTTTGATGTAGAGTTCGGAAAGCAAAATGGTTTCGCAGCCTTGTTGTCCTGCTGGAGGCGGGGTATTCTCTGCTTGCGACACGACACGTATTCACAAGTTGAAGTTTAACCATCAATTTAGCCTTCCTGAATGATCCCAGAAATCCTACTCCATGGAACTCTCCACCTCAGAATTGTCAAATGAGTTGATATTCCATCCCGTTTTAAATCTTCACGTGCACAACACACAATCTACAATCTCAAAGTTTTAAGAATGTAGGGAGGATTAAGAATTCATGTGTTTACTGGTATGTCGTATTATCCGTATAATAAATCCGAATGCCTCTGGTCAGTGTCGCAACTACATAATTTGATCAGTTGTAGTACGAGTATCTTGATACTGCGATAGCCATTACAACACAAGCCTCCGTATACTTACAATACTCTTCAAGTGATCCACATCATTCAAACCCCTCCCTCCATCCCCAAAAAACAACAAATTCAATTTTAAACAAAGAACGAAAAAGAAGCCGACTCGAGTAGCTAGCTAGCGTATACTCCTCTCTCATCTCCAACATTTCACCGAATCACTCATAAATCACTCGGACACTCTATATAAACACAAAATTCTCAAATACAAAATTCTCAAACAAACAAATCCAACGATAAATTACTCACAAGCTACTAAGTATCAAAAATATTACTCATATATCCTCAAAATGGATATACCTTTATATCACTTAGATTCTAGCCTATTATATCTAGAATATATATAGACAGATTCTAGCTTTCAGGTAAACATTCTAGCGCTCCATTATAAACCCTAGCCTTCAATTATCAATTCACTTTAAATACCTTCAGAGTAATCTATCTCAGAATATCCTATACTCTCCAGGGCTTTCAAACAAGCTCTCAATCTGCATCCCCAATCTCCAATCTCCAATCTCCAATCTCCAAGAAAACAGAAACCCAAAAAATCATACCCATCCTCTCATACTACAACATCATTCAATTCATCAACTCAAACCATCTAAATCATTAAAAAGAGAGATTTCCTGTAACTACAAAGCAGGCTTTCAGATCAGAAATAAAAAGCCTAGCTTATATTCTATTCTATAATTCCAAAGTTCAAGAATATAGGAGTATAAGAATTCGTATCTATCTCCCTCTCTTAGCTCTATATTGAGAGACAGCGTACGATCATATACATTCTTTAGAGCCTGGCTTCTAATCACAAGACCCGAATGACTCCTTATCTTTCTTTCTTTGATTCGAATTCTCTCCCCCTTTTATTCATATAAGGAAAGGAGCGTTCTGCCCCCACCCCTCCCCTAGAACTCTTGTTTCTTTCTTGATATCAGAAGGGATACTATTTGATATTAATATAATATTCAAGTTACACAACTATATAACTAACATGAAACAATCAAAACCCGAGATAGAAAATACACCACCGCTGTACCATGTAAAAGCCTTCCGAAAACCCTTCAACAAAATGAAAGAATTTCCTCGCAGACTCTAAAACACAACATCCCCTCGCCTCAAAAGACAAACAAAACAACCGGAACTAATAAAACGCACCCACTATACCCCTCATCTCCCCTCCCCCCTCTCCTCTGCAAACATATCCAAATCCAATATAGCCATTTAATCATTCCACCCCCATCTCATAAACGGAAGAACTTCTTTCAAACAAAATTGAAAAGTAATATATATATATATATATATGTAGCAGCAAAAAAGCAAAAAATCAATCAAACAAGGTTGTAAAAAAGCAAGATGAAAAAAGATGAAAAAGTAAGAAAAGGAAGATGAAAATCAACACGCTCTCCATTCAAACACGAAAGATAATAATTGAAAGCGAGAAAGAAAAAAAAATAGAGGCGAGAGCTTCCTCTTTGAATGATTTTCGAGATTTCTATTTAACCCCCTGACATTTCGAGCCACTACTCCGCATCAAATAGACATGCCACTAGGCTATATACTTAATCAAGTCAATCACAATCAATATTTCTCATTATATTTCTCAATTCTCTTTCGAGTCCAATAGATAGATTGGCATCATCATCATCATTCATATACAATACAGCCACATCTTAAGTTCCAACCATGTGTGTTCATCACCCCCTATCCGCCTCTCTTTCACCTCCAACACCGTTCGCTATTTCCTCCAATTCGCTCATTTCCATATCTCTTCATCCCATCCATTCATCCATCCATCTGCAACACCCTTTGAAATCCCCATCATATAAAGCGCGCAACAAAAAACAATCCGGCAATGACACCCCCACGCAATTCCCCATTTGATATAGATTCAGATTCTCGCTAATAAATCAAACTCTGAACTGTGTCTTCCTTTCCATAAAGGGGGTATCTCTTTTCATGACATCATGAAATCTAAGTATTTCTTCTCTTTCGTGTACTTCTTTATCTGCTTGTTTCGATATAACCAAAATGATTTCTTCATATCCTCCATATTTAGTTTTGTTGTTGTTTGTTAATTTTCTTGGCGCATAGATTTACTTGATACTACCGCTCGATATAAAACCTAAGGCTTATTCGTCGTCCTCTGCCTCTATACACCAAGGGTGGTCCATCACTTGCTCGATAGTCAATCTCGAATCCACATCCCGATTTAGCATACCTCGGATGAGATCGATACTCTCTTCACTCATAACATAAGGTACCCTAAGATCACGATCCATGATTTCGTCAATACTGTAGAATGGATTTTCTTTATACACGATTGTGTACAGAAGAATGCCAAGAGCCCAAACATCTTGAGGTTTTCCTTGATATGGTTTACCAGAGAGAACTTCCGGCGCAGCATAATCTGTGATGACGTTAGATATAATCTCAAATGTTTCAACGGAGTAAACTTACCAATGGTTCCTACGAAGACGTCAAAAGGACCGCTCTTGATATAAGCGGCACTTCCAAAATCAATGAGCTTGATACTTCCTTCACCATTGATGACTATGTTTTCGTCCTTGATATCGCGATGAACGACAAGAGCCTTGGTGTGAAGATGATGAATGGCACGTGCAACCTGTGCGAAGATGCTGCGACATTCCTTTTCCTCCATGTTAACTTTGAGCTCAATGTAATCAAACAAATCCATTCCTGGATATCCGTGAGGTACCATTTCGATGTAGTAATTGACGGAATCCTCAAAGAAATCAGACATCTCCACGATATTGGGGTGCTGAAGCCCGTCCCGACGCAAATAATCGAGAACATGGATTTCAAGGGGCACAGTACCCAGTCGACGATCGCGAGTCCAGGTATCGACAAGAATTCGCTTTTTGGTGACATATTTGAGGATAACCTTATTGTTACCACTCTTCTTGAATCGAGCAAGTTTCACCTGACCGTAAGCTCCTTGGCCCATTTCTTCCAATATCGTGAAATCATCAATGCTCTTCTTGACAACAGTTTTGACCTCCACTGGAGCAGCTGGCTTCTCTTTCGAAAAAGACCGATCGCGACCTGTAAACTTAGCCGCTGTCTTCTTTGCTGCGGCCTTGAGCTGTGCTGTGAGCATCGATGCATGCGATGTTTCGTTCTTAGGCTCATCGGAATCCGAAGAATCCATTTTGATGGGAGCTGGAGGTCCAGTCTGACCTGGAGAAGGTTGGTGTAGTGGTGTTTCGAGTCCTGTCAACATGGGAGTTTCCATACCATTAGCAAGTTTTGCGGCGTGGATATTCCTTGAGTATGTAATCCATAAAGCGTAGACAAGTTCGGATTTTATTACAGGCTCGTGGGGCGTGGGTCCGTCTTCCTCATCGCTTATTTCTTCGATGACGTTTTCATCGTAGGCGGGAGTCTTAGGATCCGATTTTACAACCCTAAGTTGAGCGTCAATCTTGAGCTCTGAACCGTCCCTATGTTTGGCTGACAATCCATCTGGCCTCAAGAAATATGTTGATGCATCGGCTTTTCCATCCCGGAGTGCAAGAAAAGCTTGAGCCCGTCTAAAGCTGTGTTCAGGAATGACAATTCCATCAACCATATCCACACCATCTTCTTCGACTAAAATCTTCAGCATCCGATCGAAGTCCGGTATTAAATCAGTAATCAATCGACCATCGGGCTTATCCTGCCCAAATAATGCAGCAGAGAAAACGGAATTGGAGCTTGTGATTTTTAATGTTTGCGCAGATAGAATCATAATACCAGCAATATGAGGAAAGCTGGAAACGCGGAGATCCGTGCTACTAGGAACTCTGTCGACGACTGCCGGAATATGGACACGTCCAGAGGTACGGGCGGTAAAATATCTCCGTTTACTGACTTCGGCATAATCAATCTCTCCGCTCCTGCCATCGATTCCTTGGCGTGGAAGTCTGGGTAAAAGTTTCCCAATATCCATACCTGTCCAATCAATGTCGGCTCCCCATATCGCATCGATAGATCCAGATATTTTTGTTATGGCAGCATCATCGTCAAGGCTGACGAGGGCTACGTCTTCATGAATCTCTTCCAAAACCCAAATAAGGCCACCTCTCTTCTCCTTGACCCACAAGCTTGCCGAACCTGTTGCGCCGTTCCTTTTTTCAATGGGTACCACGTCGCCACATAAAAGAACGCCCCTAGATTTATTACTTTGATGATTTGAGCCACCCTTCGCTGCTCGTGTCCTCGAAACAAGACTGGATCCTGCACCATCGTCGGTTTGTGCTCGACGAGGAGGTTTCTGTACTTGACGCGAGTTAGGTTTACTCAAGAGGCTAGCCGTGATACCACCAGGCCGTCCAAGCAGCATCGATGCTGCGAGCCCTGGTCAGTATACAAGCAATGGGATAGGGATCTTGAAATCGTCTGATTTTGAGAAAAACAACTTACTGGTTGATGTTGAGCTTGATTGCTGGCTTT